ACAGAGAGGCAAATTCTTTCATCTTCTCTAAGTTGCTCCTAAAGAAGTCAGTGTGCTCCAGGAGAGAGCAGCAGAAGTACTGGCAGCTAATGGAGTCAGTCTATTTCTTCACTTAGTTAATGTCCGGCTTTCATCTGGTCTAATCCTGTGGGTCCTTTTTTTTCTTCTTTTCTAATGATTTTATGCTGCTACTGTCCAAAGCAATCAATATGTGAACCTCACAACACTGACCTCATGATGGATATCTCCAGTTGCAGGGCTACTGGAGTCACACTCAGGTTCTCAGCCTCTAGGAGTGCTTTCAAATAATTTTTAGAAAGGAGAGTGATGTAAAGCTGTCTGTTTACTTTTGCTATTGCTTCCTGTGTTTGGGGAGTCATATCATGAAAATGATTGCCCTTGCCAATGTTTTGAAGTGCTTCACCCAGTTTCTCCTAGTAGTATCATAGATCTGGGTCTTTACATTTTGATCGATTTTTGAGTTCATATCTGAACACCATGGGAGATAGATGTCTAGTTTCAATTTTCTGCATGTGGATTCCAGTTTTCCCAGCACCACTTACTGAAGAGATCTTTTCTCCAAAGCCTGTTTTTGGTGTCTAGGTTGAGTCAGTTGGCTGTAGATGAGTGGGTGAATTCTGGGTCCTGTATTCTGCTCCTTTGGTTTATGTGTCTGCCTCTGTTCAATACGATGCTGCTTTGGTTACCATGGCTCTGTAGTAGCTCTCAAAATCAGATGTCGTGATGCCTCTAGTCTTTTTCCTTTCTGTTCCAGGTTACTGTGGTTATTTGAGGTCTCTTATACATCCATATGAAACCCAAAACTTCTGCACAGCTAAGGAAACAATCATCAAAATGAAAATACAGCCTACAGAATGACAAAAATACTTGCTAACTGTCCATCTGACAAAGGATTAATATCCAGCACATGTAAGAAACTAAAAAAAAAAATAACAAAAAATAATCTAATTATCTACATAGGTGCTTCTCAAAAGAAGAAATACAAATGACCAATAAATATGTGAAAAAATATTCAATGTTATTTCCCGTATGGAAATGCAAATAGAAAACATAGTGAGATATCATTCATCCTAGTGAGAATGGCAGTTCAGGGGAAAATGCTTGCAAGGATGTGGTGGAAAGCGGACTTTAATACACCATTGGTGGGAATGAAATTAATATAAGCACTATGTAGAAAAGTACAGAAGTTACACAAAAAAACTAATAGATCTGCCATATTACCAGTTATCCCACTCCTGAGTATCTGTCGAAAGGAAATGAAACCAACATACTAAGAGATACCTGCATGCCCATGTTTACTGTGGCACTAAGACACAGAATCAAGCTAAGTGCTCATTAATGGAGGAATGAATAAAGAAAAGGTGGTATATAGAAACAATGGGCTCCTGCTTAGCCCTCAAGAAGAATGAGAGCTTGGCATGGTGGTAAAATGAACAGAACTTGAGGACCCTATGACAAGTGCCATCAGCCAGGCACAGATCAGAAAGACAACTGCAGCATGTTCTCCGTTATACGTGAAAGCTAGAAACAGTGGACCTGAACATGCAAAGGAGGGTGCATGTAGGCGAGGATGAAGGAAGGCTGGATTGCACTAGTGCACACTGTTGAAGTACCACACCGAACCCCATTAAATGGACAATGAACACGTGTTAATCAAAAATAAAACATAGTTAAAAATAATATGTATCTTAAAAATAAAAATAAAGTAAAATGGAGCATGATCCTTTGTGATGGGGACCTGTTTTGTGGGTAGACCCATCAGGACCTCCTACTAAGTCCATCTTTCTTCTGAACATCTGTAGTACC